AATTTTGGTCCCTTAGAGAGAGTTAATCAACAACATTACTGGTCCTAGAAAGAGACGATTGGAGACGATCATGTGTTGTACGTACCTCGCCTTCAAAAAGTTCTTAACTGTGAAATATGGAAGAACAAATGGAAAACATCCTCCATACCATCTATGATGCTGAAGTGATATGGGCATGTGATGAGCATGGGGGAAGGACGATGAGAGATTATTCTGGATATTTATTATCATTTATTTACTCAATTTTAAATATTTTATCTAATCATATATTTCTGTCTGTGTTCATATATATACATATTGTATAATAGTGATTAAGTTAGTATAGTATAGTATTAATATTGTATATGACGAATGATATGTAAAAGGAAGAAAGGAATTTGTTTATATATAATTGTGTGATTTAAGTATAATTAAGTGCTTTGTCCAAAAAATATTGATGAGTATGAGTATTTCTCAAACTACAAAAAAAAAAAAAAATTACAATAAGCGAACAATGTTCTGATTACGCAGGGCGAAAATTCGTCTAAGAATTCAGTGATTTATTCTTATGAAAGGTTAATGACTTAATGACTTTTTGCAATAAACCCAAAATACAAAATATTAGAAATTAAACAAAAATCAACAGAAGACTAAATAAATTAAATTTTATAATAAAATAAATCAGCACCTATAATAACCATTTTATCAAAGCCTGCTCCAAAAGCAATTCTCATCCTCTAAAACCACACTAAATTTCTGAAAAAAATTGTATGCAACTTATATCTTCATATATTTAGTAACAACCAGCCTTATGAAAAATTACATTTGTTCAGGGATCAACCCCTGAAACAAAAACAAAAAAAAAATGAAGAAAACAATTCTACAATTCTGGACTTCACCACCATTTTATTGGCCTCCATTTTGAGATTTCCTGTACTGTTAATCCCAGTCATTGATGAAGTGTGCTCACTCTCATTTATTTTTTCACCAGAAATTATAACAGAAAACAAATGAGTTGCTAAATCCCAAGGAAACAGCCTGGTATAGGAAGAAGAGGAGGACCAGAAATGAAGCTCAATTTCAGACACCAATTGAGTCCAAATTAATCACACAATTTTATTCTGAAGCAAAATCACTTCCAACATTACTATGTCATACTACAAAATTGTTATTTCACCATCGGCAATATTTACTTCATCTGTCAACATCAACATAAATGTACAAGTGCACAAATTCCATTTATTTTGTTTATATCCATTAAATGCAATATAATCATGTTTTGAATCATTTGTTGAATTTATACATGTTGAATTTCAGTGATCCAACCTCATACAGCCCAAACCAATTCTTACAATAACCAGCGCAATATAATTCAATTACAGGTCGATGGGTAATATTTAGTTCACAAAAAATTATCGTGATCAAACAACATTCTATATTCAATATAAAGAGATTTTCGAAATATACAATCTGGATTAACATAGTTTCGACTTTAATAGTATAGTAATAATATACAGTTGATAAATTATATTTTGTCTATTTCATACATTTAAATTAATTTCACTTCGTGATTTCGTGATATTCAGATGTTTTTTTTTATTAAAAAAAAATTAGAAAATAAGAAATGTTTTTCGAAGAAAAAATATGACACCTTTTTAAAGATTAAGGAAAATCTGACATTTTCGTTTAATAATCCCATCAAATACAAACTACGTTGGCATTTCCTTTTATAAGAAGGAAAAAACCGTGACGAATCCAAATGCCTCAACAAAATTATAATGGTTTCTAGGAAGAACCGTTTAAGGACTCATACAATAATTGTTTAACCCTGTGTAGGAAAGTTACACTTTCTAGAGTCGATTTGGAGAAAAATGATCGAGAACAAGAGACCGTAGCTCTGCCACTTTCACGTTTTCTTTCAGAGAGATGAGATAAACAGAGAAAGTCGAACGGCGTAGCTCTTTGGGCTGCGAGATACGGGAGTCTTGTGACGTACCCTTGCTTACCGTAGCTACGTAGGCAAGGATGATTCAGGAACGAGTGATTCATCTCGGAGGCTAGTTGCCTGTGGCGTAACACCAGTCACCGCGATGGATAAAGCCAACCTAATTCCAGTCTGAAGTAGTAGATATTTTAAATTATACAAGAATGAATAGAATATTATTAAGATATACTGTAAAAATGTTTATTAAATTTGTTATATAATAAATGTTAAATTAAATGGTGTTTAAAATCAGCTAGATATTATTCTTAATGAAATAGTACGAAAAGACTTAAATGCTTAATTTAAAAAACTAAGGAACCTTTAATTTAGTCTATGTGAGATAATTAAGTATTTCATATTTAGTAGAATTTAAGAGTTACCAGTGGGTGGTTTCTGAACAAGTGTTATCATGTGATTATATTCCTGTATAAACACTTACTTGATTTATTTATATTCTAATATAGTCCGTGGTTCAAGCAGCTTTTTATCGAATTATTAACAACCGCCTGAAACTTCGTAAATAGTTTCATCTCATGGTAACCTACAACTATTTTATTTACGAAAACTCTAAGAATTGTTGAGTAGTTTTCAATCTGGAGGGGGCAAACTTTGCTTATTTAATTAGTTACTAAAAAAAAATGAGAAAAAAGGTGGACTACACTTATTTTTTTTTTTTTTTCTTTCCAAGCCCCTATGGATAAAGACAATGTGTTAATTGAAATTATATACAAGTGGTATTTGACTTTTTACTGAAACTGTGTTTCATTTTAAAGCCTTTTTGAAGTTAGTATGTTCATGGAATTTAATGGGATTGGAAGTCTTGTGGGATAAAGACGCTGGGGCACGTCTTTGTTTTGAATTTCTACACTATTGGGTCGTCTGTCCTATTATATATAACCTCGTTATTTTGAAATTTTGCCTATGAAAATACGATTTTTTACAAATTTATCAAGAAATATCTCATTTCATAAATTAATTGACTCATTTCGACAAATTGCACAACATAACATTATTTTGATAATTCAAAAAAAACTTCTAAAATATATTAAATGATTTATACCGTTTAGCGTGACCTGCACTCCTAACATTTCAAAATAATGAGGTTAAATAGGCTAAACGGCTCAATATTTTTGAAGGCAACCTTTTTTCTCGATTTTGTGATCAAATTATCTTACGACCCAAGTAGAAAGCAAATGAGGATTTAACTTTTCAGTATATAATTAAATAAACAAAGTTTTCTCCCCTCCAGATTAAAAACGCCCCGATTCCAAGAGTTTTTATAAATAAAATAGTTGTAGGTTACGATAAGATGAAGCTATTTACGAAGTTTCAACAAAAAATTTTAGAAGAAATAAAAAATAAATAAATTTAAAATATGAAAGCATTTGTACCATTATCTTCAAATTAAACCCTAATCGATTTTATTTTTCGAAATGAGACAAGTATTCAAAACACACGTAAAAACAGCCAATTAATCCTCAAATCGGCTAAATATATTTATTTTATTGAATTTAAATATTCAATAAAAACATTGAAAAATGTATGTTCTGCCAACTGAAAATATCCTCACGAATTCCAGAAGGTATGAATAAAACAGTTCATCTAGTTTTTGGAGTTCTAAAAAAAATTATCCGATGTCCTAAGTTTTCTCTTACTCGTCCACTGTGCAGTGGTCCAATTATTTTTTTTTTTTCAATAACGAACCCAAATATTAATAAAAATAGTGGTGTTAAAATAAGCTATTTCCGAAACCAACTTTTTTTTCAAAGAATCTAATCAAACTTGAATTTCTTAAGTATACTTAAAAAAAAAAAAACATCAAAAGCTTTTTTAAACGATTTATTCAAATGGAAATTAAAAATATATTTAACCATTATTGTTTAGAAAAATTAATTTTTAGTATCATTTTTATAATTTTTTCTTTTTCGAATCATAAGCCAATTTTCTCTTCAAACGGAACCACAATCAAGTGTTTTGATCCAAAACGGGCATTAAAGTAATTCTTTCCAAAATGGACCCTATTCTTTCGATATTTTTTTTAATGTTTATAATTACTGCAAGAATAACCAGTGATTTTAGAAAATATGTTTTATAAAATACCTGAATTTCTTATTTTTTTTTTTTAATATAGGTTTTGATATTATAATTGGAATAGAAAATATAGACCTTCACGTTTACGAAAAAAATGATAACAATGATCAGGGTTCATTGTGGAAATAAAGGAGATCACGGGGCCATCTTCTTTTCAGACGCCTCGGAGGGTTATCAGGAATTGAAGAGGAAGCAAGGTTAGAAACAAGAGGGTTCGGATGATTCTGAAGTTTATTATGGAAGGACAGGTATCTGGATTGAGCTAAATCGGAAACATATGGTACATTAAGCTCGTTATGGATGATTTTATTTGTGATAAAGTAGGAAGCATTGAGGATTTTACGAAGGATTTTGGATTGTAAGGATTGGATACGAGAGGAATTCGATGATTTAGTGGAGCCCCAAAGCTCAATTCCGTAAGTCCAAATAGGTCTTATTATTGTCATATATGAGTCGTTTGTAATTTATTGAAAGCTTAGATCGTTTGTCTAGTAAGTGCGGCAGTAGTCGAAAACGTCGAGCGGTTTCTAGTAGTTTCAGTCCGATATGGGGGTTCCAAGTGAACATAAATTTAAATATTCTGTTATTATATCTAGTTAATAAGAATTAAAGTATAAAAATAGAATATTATCATTAAAAAAAAAAAAGTTTAAAATTCTACAATTCAGTATGTAGGCATCCCCTACTATATTTGTTTTATATATCATTTGTTTTGTAATCTTCACGAGTGTTAATATGCCGCTGAAATTCACTAGGTTGTTCCTAAATTCGGCATAAATCGTATTCCATTGCTACTGGATTCAAATGATGGAGTCAGCGCTGAGTTTAGAAACTTAACCTATACTGATCTGCTCGGAAGATGAAAATGCCATTAATATATTAATGATACTTTTCATTATCTGAATATAATGATCACTGACATTTATAATCGACATTCCTTCTGGTGATGACTTCATTCTTTTTCTTCCCACCAACTTCACGGGATATCAGGAGAGAATCAGCACACCTCGTTTTTGTTTCCACAACAGCCATGGCGTGGATAATAGGTTATCGGGTTGCCAACCGACCACACCTTTCAAGGTCTACCAACGACCACGGCTTACGGCTGGTAAAAATGGCTTTTAAAGCTTTATTTAATTATTTACTATAGTTTTCATAATAATAACCTTTAACTTCAGAACGCTGATATCACAAAAATAAGGCAAATTGCTTAATTTTGATTTTATTCTCAAATAAAGGGTAATGTAGAGATAGGGTATTGTAACGAAAGACTGCAACGGCTGAAAGGAGTTGGATGCGAGATCCCCTTGAGAAGATATCAAGTCAAATATCAAGTCACCAGTCGCACAGATATCAAGTTAACAGATACTGTTCACTATTGCATTTCATGCATCACATTTTCTTTTTGTTTATTTTTTTCTAGGAATAATAGAATAGCAGTCAGTGAACAAATAAAATATAAAAAAACTCAGGTTTGTGCTTCAGACCATAAGATAGAAGTGAAAACATCAACATGACGAGATTAATAATATGAAATATAAATTATAAATAACAACTCATTACAAAGAAATGCTGAACATTTCTCTCACAATACAGGTCTGATTTCTACTATCTGAAATATTTTAATCCATATGTTCACCTTATCATTTGATTTATGACATTATTTTTTTCCTTTTGGCCTTCCTAACACAACGTCGCTTTAAGATACAATTTTGAATACTAAACTTTTATAGAGAGGATGAAATGATGAACAATTTCTTAGCTTACAGTATGCAGCCCCGATATTTAGTTTTTGAGATATTTTAATCCGTACGTAAAAACATTTCCATTAGTCGAATTTACCGGAGCGTTAACACTTCGGAGATCTGACGGATAAATGTAATTCACTCTCCACAAAAAAGTGCAAAACGCACCAAAATTAAGTTTCAACGTATTAAATAATTAAATAATTCAACGTACTATCAGATGAAGAAATCATTTCCTTTTTTTTTTTTTTGTTTTGTAGTTGTAATCGATCACGCAAAATAATTTTGTTTTAAACCAATGTACAATTAAACTAGAAAGTATAATATCCTGTAACTCAGCTAATAATGGTCCGAGCGAATTCCATGATTTTCTTTATTATTATTTTTTTTTTTTTTACGGATTTAGTAATTATTCAAATAATCATGGGCACAATAAAAAAAAAAATTGTATAAATTTTGAGCTATTCCCAAATAAAGTTTCTTTTTTTTCAAGAAATTTTGGAGGATGTGATTATTTTTCTCACCTAAAAAAAAAGAAGATATTCAAAATGACAAAATCATTGCTCAATCATTGGATTTGATAAGCAAAAAATAATTGAATATTTAATAGTTGACCGTTGCATTATAAAGGAAGGAGATGGTCCGGGTGGCGGTCATAAATAGGCTAAATATTTTTATTAAAAGCCAACGTTTTGACCCGACTTTACAGGTCTTCTTCAGGGAGGTGTGTTCAGTAGGAGTTTCACTTAAAACTCCCTTGTTCAGTTCTAAGTGAAACTCCTAGCTGAAACACATCCCTGAAGAGGACCTGCAAAGTCGGCTCGAAACGTTGGCTTTTAATAAAAATAGTTTTACCACTATTTCGCCTATTTATGACCGCCACCACAGACCACCTCCTTACTTTGGAAAAATTAATTATATGTCGTAATATATCCTAGGATTTTATGATTTTTACGTGAAGATTCCTGTTTTTCGGAGGTAAAGAACATCATCAATAAAGTTTCTTGAGACAATCGGCCTAGAGGGATGGTCACTCTTGAATTTGATCAAAATTATTTCCTTTAAATACTATTTAGAAACATCCAGAATATTACCTTTGATAGAATCTCTCAGTCACCACAGAATTGTCAACATTATTTTAAAAACAACGTTACGGTCCACAAAACTGTACACAGCGAGCAGCGATCCGAAACTGGTAATTGCTCGGCGGTTTCGACGAACGGACTTTCCAGCCGACAATCGCCATTATAACGATTCGACCATTAACTATTATTTCCTTTACTTTGGAAGGAATGTAATCATTGCATTATCTACCGGCTGGAGGCAGCACCTCCGCGCTTTGAAAGGCTAATTCGTGAATGATATTCTTTAACTGCACTATGATGGAGCCTTGCAAATGGCGTTTTGATTCGGTGCAATTTTAATGTTTTCATTTTTTAGATAAATTTCTCTATGTTTATTTGTATCAATGGAACAAAAAAGAGGGAGAAAACAACAACATAGAAGTATCAAAAGAACAAATATATCAAAGACATGTATATATATATATATATATATATATATATATATATATATATATATATATATATATATATATTGAGGAGACAGGATAAAACACTGAGATTATTTTGAAATATGTTGGATGGTACAGGGTGGTATGAGTGCAATATCTTTAAGCTGTTCGTGTTTACAGAAAATAAATCTAAATCGATATCAGTACACTATCGACTAAACAAGAAAAACTACACGCACGAACATGAGTCTGCGTATTAAGAATTCCGAAGATCAGTAATCTTGTTGTCATGTAATTTTATGAAGCAGGACAGTTTAAAGTACATATTTAAGACCTTACATGATCAGTCGTGAATGAAAGAAACAAGACTGATAAGGATTGCTTCAATCATGATGAATGAAGCCCTACACGTTCAATCATTACTGACCATTTTAGCTCAGTTGACATTGAGATAACAGGCAGCATGGATCTGGTGCATTGTCTTCTTATAATAATGTGTTTAATTTTAAAAGCTTATTTGGACATTATCCTTTATAGCATTGGACATCAATAGGAAGGAAAATGGAGTTATAATAATGACTTTCTAGTGCCTGAAAATCGTTTTAACAAAAGGTAGAAAAATATAAGTGAACAAATTACAAAAATTAATATGCCCAAACATAAAGCGACAAAAAAAAAAATCTGGTGTATCCACTCACACGACTTTTCTACCTATTTCAGAAAAAAAATTATCTCTTTACATATGTCCATCAAGAAACAAAAAAAAATGAATTACATTTATTTTCCAGAAAATTGATCAAAGAAAAGATTTGAGTACGATTTATTCCATAAACTAAAGCAATGTAAACTGGCTTAAGGTAGATCAGTGTAAAAATGTTAATACCCTCTAATATTGCTGATCAAAAACTTTTTGCCATAGCTTAATTTCGTCAAACAATAATTTCTGTTAAAACTAGAGGAAATAGTGAAGCTTGTGTGATTCATGATATTTGAGCATGACAGGAGCTTATATTTTGATACAAAACCGATTTCGAGCCTTACTGTAATAATATATGTGGGGATTCATTGTAGACATAAGTGAGCATGTTACATCTGGGCCAGCGAATGCTCTCAGGAAAGGACAAACTACAGTAATCAGACGACTGATGGAACTGGAACCTATAATATGGGTATAGTAACTACTCTTAAAAAAGCATATACATATTGTAATAAAAACTGCCACAATGTTAATGCTCCGAAAGCTTTAACATAACACATTACAATGTTATTGTCTTGTATGGTATCGACCAGCATATATCGATAATATTGATTACTATCGATAAATTTTTTTTTTTCTTTTTTAAATCAAGTGTTAGGAAATATTTCGAGATCATACACATAAACCGCTCCATGTTCAAGAGAGGATACGAGCTATCGATATATCGATAGTATTATAGACTATCGGCTATCCCTAATATCTAGGTCAAAACTTTGGTAAAACGGACTCGACTTTGTTAAACGACCCTTTTCAAATCAAATATCGATAGGTTTTTCGATAGTGAAGACAATCGATACTAGTTTAGCCCAAATGTGAGACCAACCTTGGTCTCGAACACTCAATCTTGCAGTTACATTTCAGCTTATTACTATAGAGATATTACTGTAATATTAAATTAACGTTTAATAATAGTTATTACTATTTCAAGCCAAAAGAAATTTGGACGCTTTGTAACCTAACTGAATTAGAGGATCTTTTTCATATTTTTGTCGGGTGCCCGATTTATGCTCACTTCCGCCAACACTTCCTACCTCATTCCATTAACATGACCAGGGCGAATTATCTGGAGTTATTCAAAACTGACAATGAAGTCTCCTCAAGAACCTGTTTTATTACACAAGGCAATGTTGCAGATTGAGATCGTTCATTTTCAATGAATAATAACATTAACATTATATATATGTATATATATATATATATATATATATATATATATATATATATATATATATTTTAAAAACTTTGAAGTTTATTTGCTTGTGGTATTTATTATTCATGCATGAAACATATTTATATGCATGTTGTTTTGTATTGTATCATCTGCTATTTAATATTGACATGTTTATATGTTATATACTAAGCCTGTATTTATCTTTATTACTGGTGATATTTATTACTATTTGTCATTTTATTGCTCGTTATATTTTGAATTATTGTATTGTGTGGGATATTATATTATATTTTATTTCTTATATTTAGGCATTCATTCAGATGCTTGGTTGTTATCAGGAGAGGATGTTATCACTGAATCCTAATGAATTTTACTTTGTATATAATTTGTAAATGTTTTTAATATTAATTTGTTCATTGCTATCATTATAGCCAACTCTATTTGTATGGAGCATTCCCCGAAAACAAATAAATAAATATTATTATTATATTACTGTAATTTTTCAAATACTGTAAACCTAACTATACCTAAAAGAACAATTGGAAGCGTTAAATGCAAAAGTATTTTATTTATAGAAATTCTTTACATATGATAACTAAAATTGTCAAGTATTAGTACCTATATTTGCCTAAAAATAGGTAGTGTTAGGTGCTAAAAAGGTAGAACCATTAAAAGCGAGTGGTCTTGCACAGAGTATACAAGTTATATTTATTTTTTGAAATTCTGGCACAGAAAGAATTAAGCAGTCTGGCTGAATTGTTAAATTAGTTTAATGAATTCTATTCTATAAATATGCATTTCCTGCAAATAAAAGTAATTAATTATAAATAGGAAAATAATTTGGTCGATTGATATTATTTTATACTAGTAGGCCCGTGCGAAAAATTTGAAACAGTTTATTTTCTTATAAATTCAGTGATCAAATTAATAAGAAAATAAAATAATGTAACGTATCATAAGATAGAGAAATCAATTATTGCTTTCTCGCTAAATATAATCGACAAAGGAAACAAAACAAAACTAACATGTTGTAACCAAGATTAAGGAAGCAGTGAAAAAACAAAACAAACTCTTCTCTCTTTTGTTTCCTGTGCCTGATTACTAATTGATATTTCAGTATGTGCATGTGCTCTTACATCTTAAATATCTTCCTAGTTATCTTTAATTGTATACAGTAATAATGTTTAAATTCTCTCTTTTTCCTAGTATTTTATTTATTTTCATTGTACATAGTATTAATCCTGTAAATATTTCTTTCTGTAAATAGATCTCTTAACCTTTTTTGCTGCTTTATAAAAAAATATCCAACCTGACCCCTTCTCGCCTGAGCTAGCATGGTAGAGTAAATATTTAATTATGGCCAAATAATGGGTAAGTACCTTATGTTTTATAGATTCATCTCTTTAGAGATGAAAGGCTAGTAAAGCCAGGCGCCCAACAACTAAAGATTCCGACAGAAAATTATATTCATTAAAAATTGTTTTATTATCTTTTTATTTATCCCTTATTTACATAATGTTTCATAGTGGTCATAATGTTTACAAATATCAATAATTATTTATTTATGTATTTTTGCTAATAATTGTCAGATTTCGATTTTTTTTTTCTTTCATTTTCTAAGGAATTCAGTAATATTTTATAGACTGATGGACATAAGGGAAAAGTGTGTAATTTTTTAGTTATTCGCAAATAATGTTTCTTTTCTTTCATAAGTTTTTGCCGGAATTTTTCGGGTGATTTGACTATTTATTATTCACAAATTTTTTTTTTTTACCATTCTTGGTTTTGGTTTTGCATTAGTTAGGCGGTATTGGTCTTGTTCTTGCAAAGTGCGAAGACGAAGACCGCTTTTGGGTAACACTAATCGATACTACCTATAGTGATATCAATGTTGTTGCCTCGCCTTCGTTATCGCCTTTCGACACTAGCTGAAAGGAAGACCAGCCCCGACACGCATACCAGCTCATCCGACACGATTTCCAACGCCTTCTGTTCAACGCCATTCTTCAACACCATTCTTCTTGGCTCCGGATGACCAAAGTGGGAGGGAGTAAACTCTCATCCGTCCGTGGAAAGTGTTACAGTCCGAGAAAAAGGTTTTTTTTTACCCTTTAGTTTTCCCGTGGCCTCGAGATCGCAGAGAGAAATATATTTCCACTTGATTTATCATTGCCAAGACCAGTTACACAATTGTACAATTTTACGGTTTGTATTTCTTTCAGTTTTGATTTCATCATCGCCGTTGAGGAAATTATTTTAAACCACACGCGTATAAGCAAATCCCTTAACTGAGCACTGATTTCATCGACTACATCAATCGATCGAATTCAACACTGATGGACAGCGATTTATGCTGATTTTAAGAAAAACCTGATGGATTCCAGTGGGAGGTTGATAAGTCTTAGGAGGTAACAGCCTTAGACAATAACTATCTACTGTATTGAAAAATTTAAAAACAGAAATAAATATAAAGTAATCATTACAATATAAAGTAACGCGAATATAAATATGTAAAGTAAATAAAAAATAACAACACCGTTGAGTATCCAGGATTTTCATTTTGGGGGGGCTTCAGCCCGAAAGATTTTTTTTTTTTAAATTTATAACGATAATTACTTGGAAGAATTAAGAAACTAACCACCTATACGAGATAGCATTTAAGTGATTTTTCCTATTTAAGTCCTATTAAATGTAATTACAAGAAAAATAATACTTTTAAAGATAGGGCCTTCAGCCCGAAAGCCCCTCCCCCTCCACCGGTACATCCGCCTGTTCCGCTGAGCAATCAGTGATTCAATCAATAAATTAAT